TGCGACCAAGACAACGAATGTGATATTGTAACCCCACCAAAGAACACGATTGGGTTTGCCTCAAAAAAGAAATGTAGGATTTGCATTGGCAGGCCCCCCTTTTGCCATTCCGATGGATGTGTGTACTGAGACGGCGCACATCATTGGGGGTGATGTGGATGGACGGCATTGAGGGTTGTCTTGGAGTAAGGGATTGGTCGGATGATCGGGCTTGTCAGGAGGAGAGATCGACTCTGGGTCAGACGGGTGACCGACGACAGAAAGGCACTGGGAGGAAAAGGAAAAGTGAAAAGGCAGAGACCAACTGCCCACCATCATAGCTAAGCCCGGTTTGGGGTAGCTCAAAATCAAACAACCAATGGAATTGCATCGCTTACTGTTCCTGAGTTGTGTGCCTTTGGCGATCCTTGTATGCTCCACAAATCCAGGGGTAAGGTGGGCTCTCGACCTTGTGCTACTGCTGTCGCATTCAGACAAGTTCCTTCTGAGATGTGGATGTGTCAGATTGGCCACTAAACCACACTGGCAAAATTGGAGCTCCGACAGCGTCGGAGTAGTGGGCACAATCCTACCATTAAATTCTGACAGATGTCAGTCTCGCAGGGACGCCAGTCAACGCATCGTACACATAGTTGCATTGAAACCCAAACCATGACGAGGGCGTTTTACTTGTCTTCTCAACGGTAACAAACCCCAAACAAAAGAGTGTTCGAAATATGGAATCTGCCTTGCCGGAATAAACATTTTCTCTCGGAGATAGCCACGTCTGAGGAAAGGCAGGCATTGCCCTCCGGTTTGACCTGGAATTCAAACACGGACAAACGCCCGGTTGCCGCGGTTTCGCAGCACCGGGCTGTCGGAGCGTCCTCATTCTCACCGGATGCTAACGCTATCCGAGTCTCCACGCCAGTGGTCAAGATTACAGTATTAGTAGTTCTCTTGCCGTCTTCACCGTCCCTGATCAGGATCCTACCGGTCTCCGGCTTTTCTCTATCACGTCCGTCATCAAGTATCAGAAGCTAGGAAGCATTCCTGCGGACCGGGCGGCTGACATGAGAAAAATGCCCCGTTCCTGGTATTCCACAAGCCCGGGCCCGATTTCATTCCATTGGCCAGCTGCCGGAACTTCCCTGTTGGGAGCATGAGGCTGCTTAGGCCAGTCAGCCAGTGCGAGATCGAGAGGGGCGTGGGAAGACACAGACGAGGTGGGCTTGCAAGAAGATCATATACCCGTCCCGGTAGACAGCTGTGGTCATGTGATAAAACCTATCAGTGACCTGTTCTTTTCTATCAGCTCTAGATCATTTTCGTACGTGTGCTTGGTATTTTGGAGGAGCCTGTCTCACCCGTTACCTATCATTCCGCCAAAGCTTATCGAGTTGACCGCGTCATGCGAACCATCGGAAGAGAGCCCCATGAAAATATTTGCCGCAATACTTGTGGGGAGCCGCCTGGAGAAAGAGCTTGACCTGCCTGGTTTAGTGTATCATCGGTGTCACCATGCAGCGGGCAAGAGGAGGAAGCAGGCATTCGTGCGTTGTGTTGACGCCGCATCAGCATCGCGGAGTAAAAAAGGGCGCTAACGCAGGAACACACTGCAGCTTGCAAGGTCGTCGCAGCACCGTGCACAGAGACGTGCATCTGACGTCCGCCGCTGCCCACTTCAATTGACTTTTTTTTGTGTCTTGAAGTCTGTTTCTCCGCGCCCTGTTCTCTCTGCAGGCAACCAAAACGACGATGGAAGATGCGATTGAACAAACTTCCATCTTGTGGTGGCGATGTCCCGAAGGAATATCAGCCAGAATTCCAACATCAACAACAACCCCTTGCCCTTTCCCCATAGAATCCCAATGAAATGGAAAGCCGAGAACGTGGGCAGTGCTTCGGGCTTCTACTACGTCCGCCAGCTGACCCGATAGACCCCCACTGAACGACTGGCCAATCTGCCAGTGCACGAATTCGAATAGTACAGGACTCGAGGGGGTCGAGGCTTGTAAACATTGGGACTAAAACTTGTGAACCGGTCTCACAGAACACACAGCGGTCTGGGTCCAGGATGAGGAGACACAAAGACTCTGGCGTTTGCTTGAGATCGATGAGCTTTAGCGACACCAAGGAGCTGGAGTACGCACGTAATCGCCCATCCCTGAGATCACGACTCAAATAGAGTGAGGCTAGACATGGTGGTGAAGGAAGAGAAATGGAAGAAAAGCGAAGAGGGCGAACTGAAGAGACGGAACAACACCAACGGCGACACTCAATGAGAACCCATGAAAGTCTACAGGTAGCGCACTGTGTCGTCGCTTGAGGTGTCGGTGTTTTCCCCTTTTTCAGTCCCAAGAGCGCCAAGACTGCCGCCAAACTGTGGGGCCGAAGTGCTTAAATGAACGCCGATTGGTGTTCCTCAATATGGCATCAAGCACCTCTTGGCTTTCTGGTGTGCACACCAAAAGCCCTCACGACGCTGCACCCCCGGGACGAACATCTATTTTGGCTTGCTACCCCGTGCCTCGCTGTCCATGTGCACCACCACAACCAGAGGCGTGTGTCAAAAACTGAGCCTTTTCGGAGAGGCTAATGGCGCGGATTGCCAAGCGACGGATCAAACAGCCAGCTTCGGCTTTGCTGCTGATGTTTAACGGCAACGTCGGGTAACGATCAGAGCAGTGAAGGAACAAAAACGAGGGCATGGCTTTATAACGGCCGATGGTGGAGAGACCATCGTGCAACACACACGTCTCTCTCCGGTGTCAAGTGGATGAATCCCAGCTTGATACAATCCGAATTCGCACCACGTCGCGCCGATCCATTGCGCTAACATTCAGTTCAAACAGCTGGTGGAGGCATATGGTTCGTGCAAGAGTCAGGCCGTTGCATGGTCTTGCTAGTAGTGCTATTGGGATACCATATGACTGCTGGGGCTCCCAGTCTCTCCTGAACCGCGAACCCGCGGCAACAGCAATGGCAGACGTCGACAACAGAGCCGATCAGCCAGGAGACTTTCAAAGGGTCCAAATATGTCAAAGGGTTTGAAGGTGGGCCTGGGCCATAGGGGTCTGTTTTCACGAGTATGCTATCACTGCGAGCATCAATGAACGACGGCGATCTGTTTTCCAGACTGAACCCGAATGAGTCCGAGGATGAACGCGAGCGCACGTTGCACGACAGAACTATTCGGGTAGCTACGCCTCCTCGTGTATCCGGATGAACAGGTGCCAGGCGAGAAAGTGGAAGATGATATAAAAGACAACGAGAATTGGGCCGATAGTATACGTACCTGGATGTCTGGACAAGAGCTCTGGGAGCAAGCAAGCCCTCCCGATCATTGTAAGATCCGCTTGTGCTCATTCATTCCAATTGACCTTGACGGATGATGGACCGTGGCATCCCCGACGGACCCAATGAACAACAGGACCATTGCCTCGGTGACCGCCAGTGGATGTCGATTGTTCCTGGCCTGATGATCAAACGGACGAGTCCTTCCTCGATAAGATGAAAATCTTGTCGTCCGATATTCACAATGTTCATCCACGGTAGGAAAACAACCACCTGCGGTTGACGGGAATGAGGTCCATATGTAGAAAAGTGAACTTGACTGGTCATCCGGCCTGGGACTAGTGAACATTTTGGCAGCATCGCCGTTGCACCAGTTTCAATGTCTTGCATGGTGGCCAGGTCGTGGTCAGTCAGGTCAGGCCTGGCTCCCCATCCCCATCAGGGTACTGTGTCCTGTGTATGCTTGTGTCTGTTTGACGGCCTGGTTACTCCCCGTCCGTCGTCTGCCTCGAGCTCTTGGTTACCGAGATGGGAGTTGTGGACAGTCCGGTGGTCGCGGGGCTCAAGCCCGAGCCATTCCGATTCAAGCATCCCCTCCCCTTTCTTTTCCCCTCAGACCCCTTCAACTTCTAGGGCTTCTTTCGCTACTGTCTAGCTCAGAAACAGAAGAGAGGATCTCACCAACAGGCCTGGCGGCAGTCGGATGAGTGCCGTTCTTTCCAGTGGTAAGGTAACCCTGGGGGGGCTAAAATAGCGTCTCTCATCTGAATGGTCGAGTCCGTCCGGGACCTGGGATTTAGGGTCGACTGGTGCAAACGGGGGGCCTGGATGGGTCGAGCCAAGTCGGGCAGGTACTGTACCTGGGTCACCTGGGGGTATTGTATCGTAGGTAGCGTGTCTGGCTAGGAGAGCTGGACAGTGTGAGAGAAGTTGTGAGAGGGACGTGGAAGGGAACTCGGGAGAAAACGACGGGGTCAACCGGAAAGCCTTGGTCGTTGGAGCCCGAATAGGAGCACGAGGAAGGGGAGCGATGTGGGTGAGATCCACTCCATCATGATCGCTGTTCGCTGGGACTTTTTTTTTTTTTTTTTTTTTTTTGGTTTTGCAGAAGGACCAGACGACAGAAGACAGACAGACAGAGCCTTTTCTCTCGGAGACAAGACTGAAGTGCTTGCCATGGAGACGGGACGGGACCACGGTACGAGATGGCGTCTGACGGACTGTGGACGGGGACAGTGAGTGTGAAGTGAGTGAGTTGAGCTCACATCCTCCTGCAGGTACCGTCGCTCATGGTCTTGGGAGGAGGGCCGCCATCATGCCGTGTCCCGCGCTGAGTGTTGGTCAATGTGCGAGTGTGCTAGTGTGAAGTCTGCTTCCATGTTGCTTGGCCCCCCCCCTCCCCCGTTTCGAGCTGTGCCATCGCCGTGCTTTGTGTGGTTCGCGAGTGATGGATCGCGTCCAATCCCAACGGTCTGCCTCCCACCTTTTACGCCGGTGTCTGTGGGTTGTCGGCGGGCAGTGCGGGCAATGCACCTCACTTGCTGCAGCGCCTCTGCGCCAGACTGCACCAGAACTGCACCAAAACTGCACCAAAACTGCACCAAGCTGGAACCAGACGATAGCTGCCCCGGGAGGAAAGGGACAAAAGAGGGCGCACCTGCTAGGTGAGCCAGGCACGGCGACCACCCATGGGATGATATGGGCCAACCGCAACCCTGGACGCCATGCCACTCGACCCGCATCGAGCGACCCACCTTTGCAGGTGGTGGGCACCACACAGCGAGCAGAGGCACTGGCTGGACGGTGCCATTCGCAGCAGCCATTCGCGCAGTGATTCGCAGCGATTCGCAGTGGTCGCCCACTCGTCGCTCTCGTTGCCCAGAGTCTAGACCCACTTTTTCCGGTGCCGCCCCATCGCTCGCTCGCTGCTGGAGCCCTGTTTGGAGCCCTGGAGCCCGCTGGAGTCGGTCGGGTGGTCGTCGCATGTTCCACCATTGCCCTTTCTGCTTTTTCCCTCGAATGCCCCCGTCCCCGGCCCTCGTCGCTCTCTTTTTTTCCCACTCCCTCTTTTTCCAACCCACCTCGGTCGCCATCGCCAGTCTCGTCTCTCACCGACAAGCCTTCCTTTCCTCTCTCCCCCTGCCTTCATTCTTTCGCTTTTCTAACCACAGTCGTTCACTTGGATCAATCATCAATTCAGACTATTCTATCAGGTCCCGTCACTCTTTCCGGGTCCCTTTACCTTCCTTTACGGTCTGAATTCAGCATCATCATCAACACCAAACATCACCACCACAACACCATCACAACTATCACCACTATCATCACACTCTCTCTGCCACTCACCCCTGGCAATCCAAACACAGCTAGACACTTAGTACTTACTACTACTATACTACTATCACTACTAATCCTCCTGTTCCCACCTACTGCGGTCCAGGACGACACATATTCATTACTACTACAAAAAGATACGACTTTCATATTGTTTTGCGACATCATTCCATTTGCTGTCATCTGCAATCTCGCGATAGCTTCTACCTCAAGTACACAACCGCGAAACGCCTTCGACATCGCACCTCCCACTTCAGCCTCCCGCTCGACGCGCACAACCTGAAACGGGCAAACCGTGTCGGACAACACTAGGCCGAATCCAGAGATCTCTGGATCCGCGTATTGAGAAACAAACCATCGTTCAACGCGCTCTTGGGTTTCGTTTGGAAACAAGGAAACGTTACTAGCGCACCTCGCAATGGCCACCGATATAATCAACCAGGAGGCTTTGGCCCCGCCGTCGATGATGAAGCACGAAGCGCCTTCGCCAACCTCCAGCATGAGCCCTCTTCCCACTCCCACCTCGACCAGCTGCCCCCAGGACAGTGTCTCGCCTTCTCCCTCTACTCCCGCCAATGGCAACAAGAACCACAGCCAGTCTTCGGCCTCGAGGCGCCACCCCGCAAGAGCACCCTCACCCAGCAGCAAAAGAACCAGAAGAGGCAGCGTGCGACGCAGGACCAGCTCACAACCCTTGAGATGGAGTTCAACAAGAACCCTACTCCGACTGCCACTGTTCGCGAGAGGATAGCGGAGGAGATCAATATGACCGAAAGGTCTGTTCAGATTTGGTTCCAGAACCGGTAAGTCTCTGTTGCTGCGCGCTTCTGCCCCGTCCACGGTTGCGGCTGTCAACTAACTTTGTGAGCAGTCGCGCCAAGATTAAGCTTCTGGCGAAGAAGAGCTTGGAAAGCGGCGAGGATATGGATTCCATCCCCGAGTCCATGAGACAGTATCTTGCGATGCAGGCGATGGAGTCGGGCAAAGGTCTCGGTTACTTTGGTCGCACTGGTTTGCTGCCATATGGACACCAGGGAATGCTCGGTGGTGAGCAAGGCGGAACGGGCAAAGTTTGTAAGTTACGGCTCAATTATCCAATGGAGCATGGAGTAAGGACGGGCTTGCTAACACGCTGCAGTGATTCACCATCTCAACTGCAAGTCGCTCACTATTGGCAAGTGGATGCGCGTGTCCCAAAACACTATGGATCTCATCATCTTTTACTCCCCCGACAAGTGCACGATGACCTACTACATCAACAACGATCAGGAAGGATACAAGATCGAGTATCCCTTTTCGTACATCAAGAACATCTACCTCAACAATGGTGATGGCGATCATATGGGCGGAATCACGATCGAGCTTCTCCAACCACCCCTCTTCTTCATGGACGCGGTTGGCCAGGCTAGCGGCTTCTTCCAGGTCGGTGATTTCACTGAGGATCAGCAAGCTTCAAGCGTGCTCACCCATCACCTTGGTGGCGGCAACCCCAAGATGCTGAGCAGCCAGCTTGCTAAGCTTGTCAGCCTGGAGGCTTTCATGCATCGTCACAGCCCGAACCACATGTTCCAGGAGATGCACCACCCCATGGCCCTGTCTGCGCCTGTTTCCCCAGCGCGTCCTTCTTCTCAGCCAAACTTCGCGCAGCCCCACGTTGGCATGTTCCAGGAGAACCAATGGGGGATCAACGTTCATCAGAACAACAACATGATGATGCGGGGAGGACCTGGCCACAAGAGGCAGCGTAGCCGCAGTGTCCCTGGGCCGATCGATTTCCAGACACTCCAGATGCTCCAGCAGCCCCCGAGCTTCCATATCACGCAACCTGAGCACCACCACCAGGCTCCCGTTCACAACCCCCAGATCTTCGCTCCCATCCCTCAGCAACCCAACATGCTGGGTCCTCTCAACCCCAACCTGCGCATTGATACCCAGGCTGGCTTCGGGTCTTTGGATATGCGACAGTATCCCATGTCGGCGACGACTGCTCCTCACTCTCCGGCTGGCTTCAATAGCCCCAACTACTTCGCGCCTCCTGACAATGGCAACATGGCTGGTAGCTTCACTCCTTATAGCGCTACTTTCTCGCCCATGATCAACCCCTCGAGCCTCGGTGTTCCGCCCCCGTCGATTTCTCCGCTATCGTTCGACCACCCTGCCATCATGAGCGAATCTCCGCCGATGTCTATGCCTCCCATCTGCGAAGGTTCTGCGATTTCGGATGACGGTTCTCAACATGACATGTACCAGCCTGGAAAGCACAGCTACACACTTCCGATGCACCCTCACTCGCCATTTGCTGAGCCGAACCAAGCAGAAATGGAGCTGAACCAGTACATGGATCTCAAACACTTTGACGTTGATCCCGCTTCTCTGTCTCCTGAAAGCATTCACCATCAACAGTGAGCGGATGAATCAAAATGTTTTTCCTTGTCTGCCTCGCGGCACGACTTTGTGCTGCGATAGGTTATCAGCCACCGATGGTTCATGACTCTTTATTCCTTATAATACCCCTCCGGAGAGTATACTCCCGGTTCGACTCCTTTTGGCGTTTAGAGGATCTCGTTGTATATACCAGGACGCTCTATTGCCTCCATGTGTCGCTTCAGAAGAAAAAAAGCTTGACGACATATCTACCACATCTTTCCCGATCTTAAAACTGCCAGGAACGCCCCTCCTATAAATGTTCTGTTCTTGTCCCATTTCATCCATCAGCCACGAAATCTGCATGACGATACCTTGTCTTTTCATGCGTGTCTGGCACATCAATTCTCGTTATCCCTACTATGATCATTTTTAGTATCGCACAAGTTCTCTCGTTTCTCTATTACGTTGCTCTTTTTGTGGCGGTCACTCGTCTATCGATATCCCGGGGTAATAATTCCTCTTTTGACGGCGAATTCCCGGGGCCTCGGTTTTTGTAATAGCTCTTCGTTTTTCATGGGTTTCCCGTTTTCCCCTCCCTCTTGATGGGACGGCGGGGGAAAGTGTCGACGGTAAAAAGCATCAGGTGTCTCCATGAAGTTTTGGCTGCGGGGAGGTTTAAAAGGCGATGATCTGGAGAAGCCCAGGCGGCTACTATTTCTCAGATACTCTGGTTCTAATCAGGAGGGTGGTGAAGTATTGGAACAGTCTCTGCTCTATAGCGCAGAGTTCTAGCTTACGGTATTGGTGGTGAAGGTAGTTAGCATGGAGAGCGTAACAGGTAAATAATCAATGTCGAGTAAAACCAGTAAACATTGCGTCTCTGTGCCGGTGTGAGAATGACAAGGTGAGAAAGAGTTACAGGGCGCTTGTAAACGCACCGACTACAATGAGAATGTTTCGACACCGTCGATTTCGTCGATTTGAGAGTGGAAAGGAATTCCTGAGAAAAATGCATAAACACCACAACAGGAGAACAATTCACAGCAGAAACAGCCACACAGTAGCACAAGATTACGGCTGGGCATACGTAATTGGAAGCTCTAAAGCACGGCAGTTTGATATTGTTGATTGTCTGGAGAAGAGAAATTACAGAGTAGCATCCCGGGCTCCAAGTTCATATTTTCCAAAGTCTGGGGTAAAGGGAAACGAAACGTAGGGTAAGGTGAATAGGTTAGACTAAAAACTTTCTCTCAGATCCAACCGAGCCAACCAACCCGGACATACTTGAAAACTTTCGTGGCGAAACATTTCACACGTCGCCCTTCATGTTTTTGCACACGGAGACGGGACCCCCCGAGCGGGAGCGGGAGCACCGGACCCCTCGGAACGGGACGACGTGATACCTTGGTACTGGACGAATAGTACCAAGTGTACGTACCGTGACCCATATCATCATCTACAAAACCTTAAATGAAGAAAAATGAGGAGTCCCATCTGCAGGAACAGGAGAGTGGACATTACCGTGGGATTAGAGTTTTAGCTTTTTCATGATCTCCTGACCACGCGAGCGGGATGCGGGATGGTTCTGGATTTTTTCATCCCACCTCGAGATGTTTGACTAACATGGAATGGCTTGACCTTTCGTCTCATGTCTTTTTTTCCTTCCTTTTTTTTTTTCCTTCCTTTTTTTTTTTTTTTTTTTCAATGCACTGATCTTGGTCCTCACTCTTCGATGTGTCAGGCAGGTTGATGTTTCCAAACTTTGTAAGCTGTCCCATTCATATACCTGAGTAATTAAGAAGGACTTTGCATAGCTTTGGCCGTGGTTCGAGTTCACGGGTGACTCCCTCGTCGGGCACGTTTGTGTCACACCACACACTGCCAACAAAGCAGCCCGAGTGCACAGCAGATGAACATCATCCCGTAGACCTCGAATGGCCCTCAAAACATCGGATATCACCACGGCGTCCATCCGAAGCACTATGGCGTCCTGTTTCTGTTCTCCGGATACACAACATTCACAGCCATGCGGCTCTGCAGCCATGGCCACGCAACGGTCGGGGAGCTCTTGTCTCGAATCCATACGCCTTTGTCTCTCGGACCTGAAAGATGAATGGGAGGGCGATGCGACGATCCTGAGTGACATCCGCCGCCGCGTGATAAAAGTACTCGACCATCGTGATAGGCGGAACGTGGGAGGGGGAGGGAGGTTTATCCCGAATAAGCAAAAGCGGCGAAACAGTTCCAAGGCCGGCCGCCAAGGTTCCTGACATTGGGGCTGTGCTAGTAAATACTAGTGTATGGTGGTTGTGCAGTTTCGGCGGTGTTCTACTATACTCGTCAGGTCTACAAAACCGACCGTCTGACTAGCGGAGTGGCTCGCCCGCTAGTGAGACGGTCGGTTTTGTAGACCTGACGAGTACACTTTCCTAAACCTAATGAGCATCAACTTCTTCGTGAGGTAGAAGAAAGAAGGCGATTGAGAAGGTTTTGATGGGGACTGATGATAAGAAAATAGGGGGCTAGGAAACGACTGCCGCGGTTCCGGATGCCGAGTTGGTTCGTCGGGAGCTTGCTGTCTTCCGTGATGGAACTTCTTGAGTGCTTGCAGTTGCGGCCCGGGAGTCCATCCAAGGCGAGCTGCAGCTCAGCGGTGGGCTCGGTGGGACAGCGGTCGGCGTGCGGGTGGACGTCGAGGCCCGCTTCCTCTGCCAAGACCTGGCCTGAAAAGGGAAAGCGTGGCTTGTCTTTCCACTCACATTGGACTTTCTCTCCACTTCGGCCTCCCCAGGCTCGGAGCATCACTGAATCCACATGCATGTCACCACCCAGCCTCTTCTTCAGGTTGTCATTCATTCTTCTTTCATTCCCTTCACTTCTTGCTGTGCCCGTGCCTTGGATACCACCACATATTGGATTCATTGCCATTTGTCTTTCTGAGATACCCCCTTCGGCCTCTTCACCGTCTACTTTGGAGCGCGCAATTAATTACGTGTAACCACTTCGTCGCCTCAACTTCTCTTACAAGTCTTTCGTCCAAGCAGCTGACAGCGACACCTTGGCCCCAAGACAAGCGGAGTTGCTCAGAACCCTAGCCATATCGCCTACCGGTTGATTCACAAAGAGAAACCCAAGCAACAGCGAGCGAATTTGCATCGAAACAGCCCCACGAGCCTTCGAAACGGAGTGGTGTTAATTTAACTTTTTTCGCGACACCATAGTACGACAGCTATACCCCGGTCTAAGCGTGCATAAAGTTTCCGTCTGTCTTTGAGTCTCTGAGATCGCGATTTCGACTTCTTCCAAAGTTCCCTGTCGGGCGTCAAAGCATCAGTGCAGCATCACTCCGTCACTAAACTCCACTAAAACGCAGCTAATGCGGAGGTGGCTTGCGAGTTAAACGGCTCTGATCATCGAGACTCCGTCAACGAACCAACCGCATCTCGTCCGACCCTGGACTCGGTCGCCATAATGCTTTGAACGTCTCCAGAGAGACCACTGACCAGACCGCTACAAATTCGAAAAAGGTTTCTTTCTTGTTTCTCAAGGCAGGGAGTCGATCACATACACCATTGTCATTGTGCGATATAAGGGGAGGACATGTCGAATTGCTGCTAGAAAAGGAAGGATACCCCGTTTCGCATTCGTCTACACCGACTTGCTTGGGAGTTGCGACACGCAGCTTCTTCCACCATGGCCGGACGAGGCCAGCCAGATCCTACCGAGGCTCTCAGAGACCGACTTGAGAACATCGAACTGCAGCAGAATGAAGTCCAAGTCCCTCGCCCGGCATTGCGCCGCCTACCAGCCTCGACGCCCTCGCTAAGGCTTGGACAACGGCGATCAACCGACGGCCGACATCCTGCGGCGCATGGGAGACCAAGCCTCGGGCTTCCTAGACAGTCGTCCCATCTTTCTCCCGAAACACCAGCTACCCCCCTATCGCCAGCCTCGCCATCGGCTACGCGCGTGCGCTTCAGTCTCGATATTTCTGAGGACGACCTCCCGAGATCTGGCCGTCCTAGCTTGTCACGCCCGAGTCTGCAACTTCCGTCCCAATTATACACAATCAATTCCAACATCGATCCCCCTTCCTCGTCTTCAAGACCAACAAAAGCAGCCCGGCCAAGCTTAGAACCACGACACAGCGAAGCGCATAGTACCCGCTCACGTATTTCGTTAACTTTACCACGACAACGCTACGATGAGGCGTACGGCGACGTCAGCAGTGCTATGGCTACGGAGGAGGAGACCAAGATCACTCTTGACACTTACAAGGACTGGATTGGGCGACAGAAGGAGAGGCAAAAGAGGTTAACGAGCGATCCGCTGAATAGGATAAAGGCTGGCGCCGAGGATGCCTACCAGAAATACATCGTTGAAGGCCTTTTGCGACAAAGGCCGATACCCCCAAGTGTAGATGGAAGACACATACCGCTGAAACCCGGTTTGGTACGACAGACCCCGTTGAACGACGAGCGGACTGGTCGGCCATACGTCTCAAACTTTATCCGTTCCAGCAGATATACCCTCTACGACTTCTTGCCGAAGCAATTGTTTTTCCAATTCAGCAAGCTCGCCAACTTTTATTTCCTTGTTATCGGTATCCTACAAATGATTCCTGGACTCAGCACAACCGGAACATACACGACAATAGCACCGCTTATTGCTTTCGTGTGCATTAGTATGGGCAAAGAAGGTTATGACGACTATCGTCGATACAGACTCGACAAACTGGAGAACAGAAGTGCCGCGTCTGTGCTGGATCCTGATGGCACCGTTAGCACGAGAGTACGGGGGAGGAAGCGTGGGATGGTTATGTCAATGGTCAAAGGCAAGAAGTACGCTGAGGAGGGAGCTGCTACGGAACTAGCTGGTTTGGAAAGGGTGACTGCAGCTGAAGTGGACCAGGGCGAGGGTGAAGGCGAACGAGAGCCATGGGCAAGAGTCGAGTGGCAGGACATCAGAGTTGGCGACATTGTCCAGTTGCAGAGAGACGAGAACGTGCCCGCCGACATGGTGCTTCTTCATGCCACTGGCCCGAACGGAGTGGCGTATATCGAGACCATGGCGTTGGATGGGGAGACCAATCTCAAGAGCAAACAGGCCTGCCCTTTACTGCTCGACCACTGCTCCTCTATCAACGCCATGGCCCACTGTGATGCTACAGTTGTCTCCGAAGACCCTAATCTCGACCTCTACAACTACGAGGGCCGGGTGACAGTGAACGGAGAGACGAAGCCTCTGACTTCTAATCAGATCGTTTACAGAGGATCAACCCTACGGAACACGGCCCAGGCGATTGGCATCGTTGTCAACACTGGCGAGGAGTGCAAGATTCGGATGAATGCGCACAAGAACGTCCGCACCAAGGCGCCGGAAATGCAGTTTATGGTCAACCGGATTGTCATGCTTCTTGTGGTCTTCGTCGTTGCCCTCGCTGTTGGGTGTACTGGTGGATATACCATGTGGCATCGCAGCCACGAAAAGAAGGCTTGGTACCTGATCCAGCAAAAGGTCCCCATCAAGGAGATTGTTATCGGCTTTATCATTGCTTTCAACACCCTTATTCCTCTGTCACTCTATGTGAGCCTTGAAATCATCAAGCTTGGGCAGCTTTACCTTCTTGCGGACGTTGAGATGTATGATCCTAAAACGGACACGGCAATGAGCGCCAACACTACGACAATCTTGGAAAATCTCGGCCAGGTTAGCTACGTATTCTCGGACAAGACGGGTACGCTGACTGAGAACCTGATGAGGTTCCGGAAGATCAGTGTGGGAGGAGCAGCATTTCTTCACGACTTGGATCTGCGGAAAGAGGCGGAGAAGGCAAAGCAAAAGCAGCTCACCCAGGACCTGCCGAAACGGAGCCTTTCGATCTCGGCGAAACCGCGGCCCTCTAAGGTCGAAGCCTCCTTGGAACCCCTTGCGGAGGAGTCGAGCAACGAGCCTATTGTCGCAAACCAATCTGTCTGGCACTCAACCGTTGGCGTGAAGCATGGACAGCCGGAACCGAATACTGACGACTTGATCCGCTATCTTCAGCAGAGACCTAACACGCCCTTCTCCCGCACCGCTAAACACTTCATTCTCTGCATTGCGCTTTGCCACACCTGTCTCCCCGAGATCAAGGAGGATGGCGAAATGACTTTCCAGGCGGCTTCTCCTGATGAGTTAGCGCTGGTAGAAGGAGCTAGGGACTTGGGATACTTGGTAATTGACCGTCCTGCGCAGGTCATCAAGCTTCAAACTCGTGATGCGGAGGGCAACCCTGTTACCGAGACATACGAGGTCCTGGACGTCATTGAATTCAGTAGCAAGCGGAAGCGCATGTCCATCGTCATTCGCATGCCAGACGGATCTACCTGTATCTTCACGAAGGGTGCTGATAGCATGATTCTGCCTCGTCTCAAACAGAGCAATCTCGCCATCCAGACCGCTAGCAAGATCGGCCAGCTGGCCAGCATGCGCAAGAGTATGGAGCAGGAGAAGGCCCTCCGTCGGCTCAGCCTTCAGAGCATTAAGCGCGACAGCATGAATCTTGTTCGGGCTTCCCGTGCTTCGATGGACCACCGGAAGGTTGCGCGTAAGGGCAGCACGCGCCGGTCTAATACTTACTTCACGGATGAGGTTGATTCTTGGCTGGTTCGTCGCGAGACTGATGAGTTCGATGATTCCCACCCGCCCCCGCGTCGCTCGATGCAGCGTGGCCGGTCCTTTGAAGTCGGTCGTCCGCACGACCCTCTTGATGGTATGGTCGACGAACACTTGGCTTTGAACGAGTCCGCCGTTTTCGAACGCTGTTTTAAGCACATTGATGACTTCGCTTCTGAAGGTCTGCGGACCCTCGTCTTTGCTTACCGTTATCTGGATGGCGAGGAGTACAAGAAGTGGAAGACGATCTATCACGAAGCCACTACCAGCCTGGTTAACCGCCAGGAACGTATCGAAGCGGCTGCTGAGATCATCGAACAGAACTTCGACCTTGCTGGAGCGACTGCTATTGAGGATAAGCTACAGCACGGTGTGCCAGAGACCATCGACAAGTTTCGCCGCGCCAACATCAAGATTTGGATGCTTACGGGTGACAAGCGTGAGACTGCCATCAACATCGCCCACTCGGCTAGGATCTGCAAGCCCTTCTCTGAGGTGTACATCCTGGACGCGACCCAAGGTGATCTTCAGGAGAGACTTGCCTCGACTCTGATAGATGTCGGTCGTGGCATGGTCCCTCACTCTGTAGTTGTTATTGATGGTCATACTCTAAGCGTCGTGGAGGAGGATGAGTCCCTCCGGGTTCTCTTCTTCGACCTTGTCGTTAGGGTCGACTCGGTCATATGCTGTCGCGCTTCCCCTTCACAAAAGGCCACACTTGTCCAGAGTATCCGTCAACAGGTTCCCAAGGCTGTTACTCTTGCCATTGGTGATGGTGCCAACGATATTGCCATGATCCAGGCTTCACACGTTGGTATCGGTATTTCCGGAAGAGAAGGTCTTCAGGCTGCTCGTATCTCGGATTACGCTATCGCTCAGTTCCGGTTCTTGCAACGGTTGCTCTTTGTTCACGGTCGCTGGAACTACATCAGAACCGGCAAGTACATCCTCGGCACCTTCTGGAAGGAGATTGTCTTCTACCTCGTCCAAGCTCAATATCAGCGCTATAACGGCTATACGGGCACTTCTCTGTTCGAGTCTACCAGTTTGACTGTCTTCAATACCCTGTTCACCTCGCTCCCGGTTATTCTCTTCGGTATCTTCGAGAAGGATCTGGAGGCCGACACGCTGATGGCAGTACCCGAACTGTACACATACGGACAGAAGGAGAAGGCCTTCAATGTTAAGCTGTACATCGGTTGGATGTTCATGGCTGTCTCAGAGTCGGTGCTGATTTTCACCATTGTCTGGTTTGTCTACGGCATTACCCTACCGCCTGAGAACACGGCTCTCTATCCTGTTGGTACCCTGGCCTTCACCATCTGCGTCATTTTCATCAACATCAAGATGCTCGTCCTCGAATTGCACAATCGTATCGCTATCTGCTTCGCCGGTTTGTTCATCTCTGTCTTTGGTTGGTTCATCTGGAACTTGTTCCTCAGTGGTATCTTCTCGGCCAAGATGAGCCCGTATCTTGTCAGAGATGGCTTCATCAAGGGTTTCGGCAAACACGCGCCCTGGTGGGTCGTCTGCATCATCACACTGTCTGCCCTTATCATCTTCGAGGGAGCCGTCAGCATGGTGCGCAGATCTCTGTGGCCTACCGATCAGGATCTGATGAAGGAGATCGAGCACATTGAGGGTGTCCTGGACGTCATGAAGGAACATGCCGCCGAGCGCGGAGAGGCCGGTTTGCCTGCGGCTGATGCGGCGGCTTCCGAGGCTGAAAGCCTAAAACACAAGAACAGCTATAGCGACTTCACCGGCACCGGCATGACCCCCACCGCTGGCATCGGAAGCAGCAGCAACAGATTGATGGTGCCTGAGGGTCGTCCCAGCCATTCTTACGCGCGTCCTAACTTTGAGTCCCCGGCGGAGGAGCTGGAGGATCCGGTGGAGGACGTTGTCAGACCTAAGAACAAGGCGGCCAAGGAGGAAGTTAAGGGAAGCATGAAGGGAAAGACTCCCAGAAAGTCGGCGTTGCGGACGAGCACGGACGTGGCTGTGAGTACGAGGTTCCTGGGGGAGGGAAGTGCCAATACACCGATTGCGAGTGGGCCGGCGGTAGAAGGGGGTGAGCCGTATTTCGTCACGAGCCCGATTGAGATGCCGGAGATGCATTCTCCTGTGGCGTCGACGGCGGCAGGCACTGGTGTTGGAGGAACAACAGGGGAAGTGGGAGGAGGCGGCGGTGCAGTAGAGAGGCAGTTGATGGGGACGACGGTTAATCAGGATGAGGGGCAGCAGCCACCGGTGACGAGGCAGTTGCTGTGAGGAGGGAAAGGAATGATGAAATGGGTGAAGTGGGATGATTCATGATATGAGTAATAGCATAACAGAGGAAGCAGAAGAAGAAGAAGAAGAAGAAGAAGAAGAAGAAGCAGGTCTTACGGGGTTATGAATGATCGATCGATGAGAAGATGAGAGAGACGGCGAGGGACATATCCCCTTGATGGCTTATTTTCTCTTTTTGTTGGAGAGCACCGCGCATTATACCTTTGCACACTCATGTCCTCTTTTTGATCTGACAGCAGCAAAAGCGGCGTTATTGGGGACTCAATCTTTTTTTCATGTATCTCCCTAGTTGGACCTTGAGGCTCTCTCTATTCTGTTTGATACCTCACCACAACGTATATAGTTAATTTTCATCTTTTTGTTTATACTTGGACGCTGATGATTCATCTTGGGCTGTGATGTGTCTAATTCATACTTGCAGTTGCTTGATGTTCAACGCTTTGAATACTTTTCTCCTGTACACCTTTCTTACACGGACTATTGTACAAACCAGATATTGTCAGTCAGAGACGTGTTCACCAGATTTAAAAGCGTCGATTTGAGATGATACCAATTGGTGGCTCTTTCTCCAAAGTCTTGTGATGTTTCTAACGATGTCAACCACACAATCCGTACTTACCCCAACCTCCTACCTATAGCTCTTTGAGTATACCAACGGAAGTGAAGTCATCTTTACCTACTGAAGGTACTGAAGGTTTGTAAGATTTGGGAATCAAGTCAGTAGGTATGTAGGTAGGTGGTTCATGCGAGCCCAGACCGACCCGACCCTACGTACATGAACTTGCATCACGAAAGTTACATGGTTATGTAGTCATACTATGACTCACGATTTTAATCTCTAGTCTGGAATTTGGACTCTATGGTACCTTGCACTTTTGAGGTTTCTGGAAATTCGTAAATAGAGCCAAGCCAGTTGATGCGAATCGAGACAGGAACCACCCTACGTTCGTATATGAACATGAACCTTGAAGTGTAGGGCAGAAAGAGTCAATGACTCACGACTTCCATCAACCGTTTTAACAGCCCAGACTCTGGGGCTGAAGTTTACAGGTTCAGGTTAGATGAAAGAGGAAGGTCAGCAAAGAAGATGAAAACTTGCATGTGGGTGAGGGGACGGGTAACGGATGTCGAGACCGAGCAGGTGGGTCGGATGTGTGATGGACGTTGGTCTGAGACTAACAGATTTGGTGGGAGATATTGGCAGATCTGTTAGTGACCTAAAAGTGTACTGTGTAACCGAGGGATGTGAGGGGCTCTCCAAACTCGAAGGATTTCCCCAAGCACCCCAAGCTATACCAAGGAAGCACCAAGGTCGCGTGCAGCAAGCCAACCGGCCGGCGCTACTGAACACAGTACAGAATGCGTGGTGCAAGTGTGGTAGCAGTCGTTGTAACCCGTTCGGGCCCTTACATGAAAGGGAATGCAGAGGTTCCCAGAGTTGGAGTTGAACCCTTGAATGAGTTCGAGCTGAAAGAATGCGAGTGGGCATTGGAAGTCGGATGTCAAAGATTGCAGGTAATTCAAGACTTCCGTCTTGCGGTCCGACAGTCCAAGGTGGTGGTGATAATGGCGTCCTTGTGAAACGGCAGAAGGTGCGGTGTGGAGGCTGTTCCGTTGGGATACGTACCCGTTGTGTAAATCGCAGACGGACCACAAAGGACCCTTGTTTTCAGGTTTGTCAGTTCCGTTGTCACCTACTTTGTTAGAGGCTCACAGCTGGTGTTTATCATAACCACCAAGAACCCCTTCCCCCTTTCGTTGTGCTCCTTTTGTGTCCCTCTGTGATGCAATTTGTGCCTGTAGAACGACCCTTTTCCGTGGAACAGATGTGCTTTTTCTTGCGCGACCTGATGGGCTGGAATTGTTCCATGTCACTATCCCAAGAACGTCAAAGAGGATGGGTGATTTTCGTTGATTTAATCATCCAAGGTCAAACTGACATCATTGACAAGAAATACCATAGTACCTAGTAGGTAAAGAGGCTCGTGCTTCAGTTCCCTCCCGTCCCTCCCGCCAGTTCTCAATTCCACACAAACCTACGAACTTTTCCCCAAGCTGTCCAGCTTCCGGGGGCCCGGGATTAGAGATGCAGCGCCAAATGCGGAGGAGGCTGGAGTTTACTGCGTCAGACAATTAAGAGCCTCGTCCAATCAGAATCTAGGCTGATCTATGGCGGGATCGGAAAGATAAGAAAGGCGCAACGAAACGACCCGAGACAATCGCGATGGGAATCCTGGAGCCAGAGTACACTCTTAACGTATTGGTAATAGGTATCAAAGAAACGGTGATGATGACGAGAATGAGAGTCTAGACAACATGAGCTGTGATATGGCCACTGCAGCACGAACGAATTTATATCTCTGCCTGGCCAGAAAACGATAGTGTTCAGTTGTTCTTGGTAGTGTTAACCTGTGGTTTAGTCGGCCGGGATTTCCTATAAAACAGCTACCTATGTTGATGGGACCTTCCCGTTCAGGCCTTGCCGTCTTACATACCTACTTGCTGCCTTCAGTCACGTTCTTGTGACTCGGCAAAGCAAGCCCGAAATAGCGTGGATGAAGAACTCTGTGGATGATCAGTCCGAGACCGCAAGAAACAGACGATATTGTGCGAGTCCGAGATGGGATTTGAATATTTGATCTCCGACCGCTTGTTGATTCCAAATGATCAGACGCTTGGAAAAAGTTTTTGAATTGACAACTGGCAGGTCTAAAAGACTCTAGGATGCCCCACTATCAAGGCTAAAAAGTAAAAAAGAGGTGTCAAATCGACCCCACTGGCGTGCCAATTGCTCGTTCCCTGTTCCAACAACAGTGCAACCCCCCCAAGCGTTGCAGCAGCCACGGTCCTCTGCAGTCCACCTGCTGCAGGCGCGCTGACCACTGAACGCCATCCCAATTCTGAATCCAGCTTGCCGGCGGGGAGGGTCCTCCACAGCGGGGAACGGCAGGCAACTTTAGCACAGCGCAACTGGAATCCCAGCCAAGACCAGAAGGCCCATCATCCACCCGAGACTGGAGTTGCTTCCATTCTTATCCAACTTAAAGTCGACCGGAGTCCGGAAAATTCGTTTCTCTTTTGGTCCTCCCGTCAGCTCTCGAGGAAGTCGGTCTTCCCTCGCTCGCCGCATACTTAGACCGCCACGGAACATCATCATCTCTCAACGACCGGACTTTGCGACAAGACAGGGAAGTTTCCCACGTCTTTTTTGCCTGTCTCACCCGCTTTTCCCGAGACATCGCCAACGCCTCGGTCATCGATAAACACACTCCATCTGTGTCCAGCTCGCTCGCCACGGAGGCGCTGCTGAGCGCGTGAAATGGGTTTCGCTCAGTGCGGGTGGCCGATATGGCGGACTGACGACTTCACGCCATGCTTCCAGGAAGAGTACGTTCCATGCTGTCGCCGGATTTGCGCTTATCAGATCATGACAAAATCCTGCCTATCTTGACCACTGCCGACCGCTAACAAACCTTGTTTTCTCAGTTACCTTAAGATCCTCCTACCATTGATCATCGTAGGACTGTCCCTACTACGACTTCTCATCTCAACTCTCCTCCGGGCTGCCAAGCAAAAACCAAACCGCGCCTACCTATACGATCGCATCGCCGATAACGACGAAGACCGCACTCACCTGCCCAGAGACGAAGAACCTGTCGACGAGAGTGACGAAGATGAGGCGCTAGCCATCGGCGGTGGCCGCCTTGCGCTGGCCAAGGTTACCACCAAGGGCTCCATCGTTCAGGCCGATACTCCTGCTGGTCAAACCCTTCTTACCGTTGTCGAAGTCCTCGCCATCGCCGGTCTGGTCGGTGTCAACGTTGCCGCATTGGTTCTCGAAGCCTACAGCGGTCGCCATGGCAAGATCGCTTCCATCGCCGGTCTCAGTGCCTGGACCTATGTTCTGATTCTTGCCGCGCTGCGTCTCTTCCTTGGAAACACCCAGTGGCGTGTACCGCACCTCTGGAACCACACGGCTACCATCTACTTTGCCCAGTGGCTGTTTTCGCTCATTGGCTTCCGCTCCGCCATTGTTCATCCTGCGACCCAGTTCAGGCAGATCTTGACCATCGTCGACTTCGCCTTGACCTCGCTCCTCTTCTTCATGTCGATCAGCACACGCAAAGGAAACAAGACGGTCATTCTAGAGTGGGAGGACGGTATTCAGCCAAGTCGCGAGAACTTGGCCTCTCTCTTCTCCCACTTCACTTTCGGCTGGGTTGACTCCATCATGTGGGAAGGCTGGAAGGAGCCGCTGACTGCCGACCGCGTCTGGAATCTGCTTCCTAGCGATAAGGCCGCCACGGTTCTGGCCAACTACCGCCAGGTCAAGAAGACCACTTCCCTGTCTTTCCACCTCTTGAGCTACTTCAAGGGCATGGTTGCTGCGCAGGCTGCCTGGGCTGTCATGTCGGGTGCCTTCACCTTTGCGCCCACCCTGCTGCTCAAGGCTATCCTCGAATATGTTGAGGATCCGACCCAGGCCCCTCGTAACGTCTTGTGGCTCTATGTGATCCTCCTCCCCATCACGGATGTTATCCGCTCTGTTGGAGACGCTCAGGCGCTTTGGATCGGGCGCAAGATTTGCATCAACATCCGTGCTATCCTTGTCGGTGAGATCTACGCAAAGGCGCTCAGGAGAAAGGCCGCCGCCGGTAACGACAAGGTTCTCGGCGAAGACAAGAAGAATGAAGCCCCCGCCAAGAAGGGCTTCTTCGCAAAGGTCAAGCGCGCCTTGGGTCTTGCGAAGGATGACAAGAAGACCACTGATCAGTCTGCAGCTGAGGCCGCTGTTGCCAAAGCCAAGGATAAGGCCGCTGAGGCCGATGAGCAGGCCAATCTGGGAACCATCACTACCCTGATGTCCGTCGACAGCTTCAAGGTCTCTGAGGTCACTAGCTATTTGCATTTCCTCATTGCCTCGGCTCCCACACAGCTGCTTGTAGCTGTTATTCTGCTTTATAACGTCATGGGCTACAGTGCCATCCCTGGCTTTATCATCATGGCTCTCCTCCTTCCTGTCAACATTGGGTTTGCCAAGACTTTCCAGTATACACAGAAGAAGATTATGTCCGCTACTGACAAGCGCATCCACACCACCAACGAAGTGCTCCAAAACATCCGCATCATCAAGTACTTCGCCTGGGAGCACAGGTTTGAAACCATTGTCGACGAGAAGAGACGGGCCGAGCTCAAGGCCCTGCGTACGCGGTACATGGTCTGGGCTTGCGCCGTGGCTGTCTGGAACACCGTTCCCATCCTTATCACTTTCTTCACCTTCTTTGTCTTCACCGTCATTGAGAAGAAGCCGCTGTATCCCTCTATCGCTTTCACTGCCATTTCTCTCTTCATGCTGCTCCGCTATCCGCTTGACCAGCTTGGAGACATGATTGCCCATGTGCAGGAGTCCAAGGTGTCCGTGGACCGTATCGAGGAGTTCTTGTCTGAGGAGGAGACCGAGAAGCAAAAGCAGCTTGGCCAGGACAATGTCGACGAAAACGGCAACAAAGTCATCGGTTTCAGAGGCGCCAGCTTCATCTGGGGCGGCAGGAACACTGTTGCTGAGGATGGAAGCATGGCTTTCCGTCTTCTTGACCTCGACGTCGAGTTCCAGGAGGGCAAGCTCAACGTCATCACTGGCCCCACCGGATCTGGAAAGACCTCTATGCTTATGGCTTTGCTTGGTGAGATGACCATTCTTAAGGGTCGTGTCTTCCTTCCCGGAGGTCGCAGCCGTGAGGATGTCCGCCCCGACCCCGAAACTGGTCTTGCCGATACTTGCGCCTATGTTGCCCAGCAAGCCTGGCTTGTCAATGGCTCTATCAAGGACAACATTCTGTTTAGTGCACCGTTTGATGAGCAGAGATACAAGGACGTCATTGTCGCTTGCGCTCTGGAGCGTGATCTGGAGATTTTGGATAACGGTGACGAGACTTTGGTTGGTGAGAAGGGCATCACCCTCTCCGGTGGCCAGAAGCAGCGTATTTCGTTGGCTCGTGCCGTCTACTCCAACTCTAAGCACCTTCTCATGGATGACTGTCTCAGCGCCGTTGATTCTCACACCGCTCAGTGGATTTTCAGCAACTGCATCATGGGTCCTTTGATGAAGCACCGCACTTGCATCCTCGTGTCACACAACATCCCTCTCTGCGTTCCTTTCTCCGACTTCGTTGTCCAGATGACCAACGGTCGTGTCACTGCTCAGGGTGCTCCTCAGGAGCTCATCGCGGCTGGCAGGTTCGGCGAAGACTTCGTCCAAAAGTCTCGTCCTGGCTCTGCTCATGTCTCGCGCGTTCCTTCCCGGGTGCCGTCCAGTGTCGGAGAGGAAGGTGACAACACCATGATCAACGAAGCCGACGGCAGTGAATCTCAGACCAAGGCTCAGACGATCAAGAAGGAGCACAAGAAGCAGGATGCCATGGAAGAAAGCAAGGCTACTGGTGCTGTCAAGTGGCCTGTCATGAAGCTCTACCTCACAGCTATGGGCAAATGGTGGTTCTGGGTTTTGGCCGCCGTTGTCTTTGGTGCTCAGCAGTTCTCTGGTGTCGCCACCAGTCTTTGGATCAAGGAGTGGGCTAACCAATACGCTACGGACGAGGTTGTTGCCCCTACTTTCAACATGAACTCGCAGAGTTATTCCAGCCAGACCGTCTCGCCTACCTATTTTGCTTCGATCTCCACGTACGTCAAGGGCAACGATAGCAACATCTTTTCGGCTAGCGCGAACAAGGATGTCAACGTCGGTTACTACTTGACCGTACTGGCTATCATTGGTATTGGTGGTGCCGTTGCCGCTCTTGTCAGAGACATGTGGATTTTCTTCGGTTCCTTGACTGCCTCGTGGAAGCTCCACAAGCGTCTGATGGGTGCCGTCGCCGGTGCCCGTTTCAAGTTCTTCGATGTCACTCCTCTCGGCCAGATCATGAACCGATTCAGTAAGGACCTGGAGGCCATTGATCAGGAGGTTGCGCCTATTGCCATTGGGGTCATGAGTTGTGTCCTCGCAATTGTCGTGACTGTTACTCTGATCGCCTGGATTACGCCGGTTCTTGATTGCCGGTTTCTTCATCACCATCCTCTACGTCTTCCTTGGTGCCTTCTACCTCCATGCCTCGCGCGACCTGAAGCGTTTGGAATCGGTGCAGCGCAGCCCTCTCTTCCAACAGTTCGGTGAGACTTTGAGTGGTGTCACCACCATCAGAGCGTATGGTGACGAGAGACGTTTCATCCGCGACAATCTTTCCAAGATCAACGCTCAGATCCGCCCATTCATCTACCTTTGGGCTGCCAACAGATGGCTAGCGTTCAGGACCGATGTTCTGGGCGATCTTGTTGCCTTCGCCGCTGGAGTCTTCGTCATTATGAGCCTTGGTAAGATCGATCCTGGTTCTGCGGGTATCTCTCTCAGCTATGCCATCGGTTTTGCCGACAACATCCTCTGGCTGGTTCGTCTTTATGCTATGAACGAACAGAACATGAACTCTGTCGAGCGTATCAAGGAGTACCTTGACGTCGAGCAAGAGGCCGAGGCTATCGTCGAGGACAACCGCCCCCCTGCGAACTGGCCTGCCCACGGCTCTGTTGAGTTCATCAACTACTCTACACGTTATAGGGCTGAGTTGGAGCCCGTCCTCCGCAACCTTACCTTCAAGATTGAAGCCCAAGAGAAGATCGGTATTGTTGGCCGCACTGGTGCCGGAAAGAGCTCTCTTACCCTGGCCATCTTCCGTGCTTTGGAGGCGGATGAGGGCAAGATCTTGATTGACGGCGTTGATATTGGTCTGATTGGTCTTCGTGATCTCCGCGAGGCCATCACTATCGTTCCCCAGGAGCCCACTCTGTTCATGGGTACCATCCGGACCAACCTCGACCCCTTCAACATGTACACCGATGAGGAGATCTTTGCCGCTCTTCGCCGCGTGCACCTGATCAAGGCTGATGAGGTCATCCCGGCGCCGTTAGCACCGCTCTCTTCCCCAGACCCCCGTTGCCCCTGTTGAGAGCGAGTCGGAGCCTTCCCGCCCCGCCACTGCTACCAACAAGAACATCTTCCTCGACCTCTCCTCTCCCGTCACCGAGTCCGGCAACAACCTCTCGCAGGGTCAGCGCCAGCTTCTCTGCCTGGCTCGCGCCATGCTCAAGAAGCCCACCGTCCTCGTCATGGACGAGGCCACCGCCTCGATCGACTACGCCACCGATTCGGCCATCCAGGAGACCATCCGCGAGTTGACTAGCACCATCATCACCATTGCTCACCGTCTGCAGACCATTGCCGACTACGACAAGGTTCTCGTCCTGGACAAGGGCGAGATCGTCGAGTATGGACATCCTTGGGAGCTGATGAAGAAGACCGATGGCAGCTTCAGGAGTATGTGCGATATGAGCGGAGACTACGACACGCTGGCCAAGATTGCCAAGAAGGCGTACAAGATTAAACAACTTGTCGACGTCGATGGGGATGACGAGCAGAGCAGTACGACTACCACTGCTGAGGGAAGCAGGACTGGAGATGAGGGGAAGAAGGATGGTGAGAACTAAAAGGTTTGAAGATAAAGACGAAAAGAGACGGACGAAAAGCGAAAATGGGATTATATGTCATGTTATGGAAATGATCGTCATGGATTATGGGAAACTCGGGGGAAATGGGAGGAGTGTTTTTTTTTCTGGGTTGGTTCCGGTCTCATGATGATGGAGGAAAAGCAGAAGGAGCGCATATTTCATTTGGTTTTCTAACACATTTTTGCTTTGAGATGATAGAAATCATCGACAGCGGGTATGGATGGTGTATATACATAGATCAGAATTAGGAATATGATTCGTTGAAAAGACTCATGTTGTCTCTGTCGTGACTGCGATGATGTTTGGAGACTTGGACAGCCATGCGCCACATTTCAAGCCACAGGAGCTCCACTTGTTCTACGCAGCTGCCTGTCCTCTGCTCCACTTCCCGTGGCGTCACGGTCAACGGTTAGGCAGACGTACTGTACCTATCATCCCATTGCTCACCTCACTACACCACTTGACGACTTCCTTCATTTCTCGGAACCCCTCAGTTCAACAAAAGCCTCAGAACCATATTTTTTGAATCAGAATCTCACAAGATGACGCCAAACACAGCGGAAGAAATCACCAACCCGCGCCGAATCCTAGCGGTTGCTCTCACCGACTCCTCTGACCATCTCGGCGCCGTCATCAGAGGTATGTCTTCCTCTTTTTTTTCCTTCTTTGTTTCCTCCCTGTCTCAAAACTCAAGTAGAAAAAATCTAACCACAACAAAAAATTAGACTTAACCGGCACGGCCCCCACTCCCCAACAGCAACAAACCTCCTCCTCCGCAGAAGATTCATCATCAACATCCGAACAACAACAACAGGATTCAACAGAACTCTCGCCATCCCTAGCAGGAACAACCCACCCCCTCCCCCTCTCCACGCCCTACTACACCGCTTCCGTCCCCATCTGGCTCGATCTCATCTCTTCCCCCGCCGAATGGTCAGCGAGTTTTCTGAGCGAGGAGGCGAAGGAGGTGCTAGGGGTGTTGGGCGGGGTTGTTTGTGTTTTTGAGATTCCCTCTTCTTCTTCTTCGAAGAAATCCACCGGTGCATCGTCTTCATCAGGGACAGGGACAGGTGTGGGACAACAACAACAACAACAACAACAACAACAACAACAACAACAACAAGAAAAGACGAAGGAGTTTATTGAGGGTGTGGGCAAGGTGGTTAGGGAGGGGTTGGGCGGGTGGGAGTGGGATGGGGTTGGGTTGGCTGTTGGTGTTGCCACTACGGTTGGTGGGGATGAAATGGATGTCGACATGGAGGATGAGATCAACGAGTGGAGGATTGTGTGCGGAGTGGGGGTTGGAGTTTGTTCATCATCAGGTTGTGTCCCTTGATACCGCTTCAAAAGGAAAAGAGAAGGGCGACGATAAGGAAAAGAGGAACGAATACGGCGAAAAGATGGGCATCGCGAGAGTGCTAGAGGCGCTGCAGTCCAACGACTGGTCAGGCGGAGACGGTGCGGGTTCCACGGAAGGAGGTGGACCTTTCGGCGGGTCTGAAGACGACAAAGATACCGACTACATTGATGAGAATGACTGGGATACGGAGGACGAGTTTGATCTGGGCTTTGGGTACACCAAGAAGCAGAAGGCGGAGATGCGTAAAGCGTTTTGGAAGGGGACTGGGGAATCGGACAAGACGACGGAGGACTTGAAGGCGTTTAGGAATGTTATGCAAACTGTGGATGGGTCGAGGGGGGATGCGTGGGACGCGAAGATGAAGAAGCAGGCCAGAGAGGGGTTTTGGAAGCAGTTCGAGGAGGAGGTGAAGGAGAAGATGAAGGAGGAAGTTAAAGGGAATGGGAAGAAGGGCAAGGAGCAATCTGCCCCCGTCACAGCAAAGGCTGGACAGAGTGCTGGGCCTGGGTCTGGGTCGGGGACAGGAGACAAGGTGAAGAAGGAAGATGATGAGGAAGAAGAAATAGGAGAGGAAGATGTGGAGAAGATCGCCAAGATGATGCTCAAGCTGCAAGCGGTTAGGGATATGAGCGGCACAGTATCGGAAGAGCAAAGGAGGAAGTTGGCGTTGAAGGCTGTTGAGGAGGTTATGAGAGAGTTGTAGTGTCTTTTGAAATATGATATAGAAATACGAAGATGGAGTCGTAAAGTTCAGCAACTTGATGAACATGTCCGACAGTTTCCCGTCCAGTCACTCATGTTTAGCCACCAAAGAGACCGTTGCCCGATCTGACACACTTTTACCCACCTACCATTGGAACCCATGAGGACAACTACTAGATAAGAGGTAGTGTTGTCTACCCGAGCAGGGTTTGGGAACAGACAGGGCATCAACCACCTGCCTCCCCAAAGGGCATGAATGTAGAAGCGATGTGATTCTGAATTCGAAATTACGCTTCACATCCTGTTCACATGGGTCGTTCCTTCCTTGAGTACCTAGCAAGGTAGGCATTTGCCTGATAAGACAAAAAGAAAACTTTTGACATGTTGGTCGTCCCTTCCCAGATTCTAACCGTCGTCGAGATAGTGAACTAATGGGGACCTAAGTTTTCCCGATCTGTGCTATTGGATCCACCGGGAGGCCCTCCCTTTCCTTTCAGTTTCAATTTTTCGTTTGATGTTCCGCACAAAACCCTGTTCTTGGTCGTTCCCTGTTTGGCAGCACCATTGTGTCTAAGAAATCAGTTGCATGTAAAGTTTACGATAAATCACCATCCTGAAAGTAAAGTGACGGAGATGTTGATATTTTATCAACTTATCATCTGCAGCAAATGATTGATCGGGATATACAGATTCAGTGTGTGGTTTCCTGGATGTTCCAGAAGACACGCAGAACAATGAGCTCGTTTTCTATGCGTGTCTAAGAGTCAACATGATGGGACTCCTTTGGGTTCTGGACGGAGTAGGTCTCTGCTCAAATTGCAATGTCCAGTCCATATAAAGATGCCTAATTATCAACCAATTCTTCTTCTACTTTTCTCCCACATCCTAAACTCAGTTCTTTACTTACCACCTTGCAAAACTCCCAATCATCTAGGAACCGCAAAACGGACAGCCGAGACGATCAAACCTACACGACACAATCAAAATCACCCAGAACACACACCCATATCTTTGAGAAATAAAAATGAAGCAAGCAGCGTTCCGCGGCACTGCCCCTCCAATGGGTTGGGCCAGGAAATCACAAGCCCCAGGCGCTCGCAACTTGTACACTGCCTCTGATCACTCTCACAAGTCTTGCCCCACGTCCTCGTGCGACTCTTGCTTCGGACTCATTTACGAGGATGGATACGACTACGAATCTAACAGCGAGGAGTTGGACGATGATGCCGACGAGGATGTGGACGATTATGGCTCTGATGGTTGGGACCAGTCCCAGTCCCAGTCCCAGTACTCTCAGTCCCAAGCCTCCTCCATCTGCCCGACTCCGGTCGCTGGCCATTCTCATTCCCAGGTTAATACTACTGATCCGTTTTCCATGTCTTCAATGTCTTCTCTCTTCGGCCCTTCTTCTTGGTCTTCTTCTTCTCCCTTTTCTCAGCAATCTCAGGGTCATTCTCCCTTTGGTGCTCCTGTTCCTGCTCCGGCTCCTACTCCTACTCCTACTTCTCGTCGTCCTGCTCCTCCTCTTCCAGCACCCCTAGGTTCAAGGAGAAATGGGTCTCGAAGTTCTCAGCGGTGTTCATGCCAGAAATCCTCCAATGGGTTTTCTAACGCCTTCTCTTCTTCCGGTCCTCCTCCTCCAGGCGGTACTGGTAACGGACAGAGCCAGGGCACCACTACCGACACTCAGCTCTCCATCTTCACCAATAGCCAACACACCGGAACCGACAACCAGACCCAAACTGATAGCCAGGCCCTGGGGCATCTGCTCATCAATGGCCCTGGTGCCAAGAGCAAGAATGGCAAAGGCATGGTCAAGAACTTGAATGTGTATAATCCCAATATTACCATTCAGGTGACACCGGAGCACTTCAGCCAGATCTTCCCCGGAAAGAAGAGTGGTGGGCAGCGGAGTGGGAATGTCAGTAGCCAGAAGTAATGGGGTGGACAAGAAGAGTGGTAGGATAGACGGGGAAAGAGATTGGAGTGCTTCGATCGCTTGATCATAGGAGAAGTGTTGAGTGGACTCTTCGATACGGGTTGACGGTTTTTGGATCTAGAGGGGTTTTGGATATTTGATCTTGACGTTTGGTCTGAGAGAGAAGCAGAAGGGGATGTTTGGTAGTTCGCAATGATATGATTTGTTTTAACCGTCAGGAAGGTCTTGGATCTGTGATGTGTGTTGGAAACTCGTTATGGCTTCGCTCGTGTTGAGTAACGGAGATGGTGAGAAGACACAAAGGCATGTGATACAGTTGTCTTGAAGGACTTCGTCATCCTTCGTCGTCAGAGAGACGGTGAGACGTGGATACCTAAGATAAGGCAACCACGAGGTATCACAACAGGTCTTGGGAATAGGTAATAACTCAGTCAACATCATGAAGTGAGACCTCAAGCGAGTATCCATGCTGGTCATGAAAGCTGAGTGAGGGGTAACGAGATGCTCTGCTGCATGAGGAGGCTGGGATCAGGAAGTGGCTATATCATGAAGTGATAAGCCCGAGTGAGGACAATATCGATAGGCCGTCGAAGCTGAAGTTCTTCCAATGGTAAAATAGCGGGGACATATCTTCATTTCCCGGGTCCTCGGTCATCTTCTGCTGCGAGCACGTCGCAACGGCGCAAAAGCGCTGCTTGCACCGCACCTTTTCCTCGACCACGGTTGGTTGCATCTTGTCGTCTTCGGAAGATCCTGGGCTGGCAGAATCGTGGTAGGCAGCTAGCAGCAGTAGCTAGCAGACTAGCAAGGATCATGACAAGCCGGGCTTGTTCAACCATTGTCAAGGTAAAATCCCGTCAATACACGTGATGGGCATGGTGTTGACAGCAGAGCTTACACGGGCAAGCTCGTTTCCTATCTCCCGAGTCCCGTGGCACACACGAACACAAACACAAACAACCTTTGTCCTCCATTTGTGGTGTTGCTGAGTATGAAGGCTGTTTCTCTCATCTCCGGGCTTCGCCCTCTTCTCGGTCAAAAAGATGGTATCGGACAGACCATGGCGAACATGGATACACTATGGAGTAGCATGGCCCGCTGAGGCGGCCAGCCGGACCGAGCAAGGTGAGAAAACTGTCGTCCTATCGACGATGCTAGATGGCTTGGTGCAGCGTGCTTGTGTGCTGCGAGCGTGCGTGCATTGCATGAAAGACTGCAGTGCAGGACGCAATACGGAGCAAGGAAGCAAGGTACACAGACTAACAGGAAGGAACGAACACATGGAGGGACCTACATTAGTGCAGTTCGTTGATGGCCGCAAATGCGCGCTTCAATCTGAACTGGAAGTGATGACGAGATCACCTCCAGCATTCAAGGCTCAGCTTGGAGGGATATATACTTGACCACGTCTCCATCGTCGTGGTCGTGTCTTGAATCCCTCTCTCTGTTGTTGATGATTCGAGATGAAAGTTCCTGTTCCTGACAGATTGCATGAACTATGTCGAGATGTGAGATTCAAACGAGATGGCTGCTCTTTCCAAATGATGGCTGAACGGATAGGCATGAACGAGGCAAGAAGTGAGGTTGATTGGTGATAGCGGCTGCCGTCTGGGTGTGATGGGAGCCGATGGGGATCGCGCGAAAACGACGCACAACAAGCGCCCATTGGCCAATCGTGGCAGGGATTTAGACGCCCATCTCATCCGCTAAACCTAGACTGGTCAAGTCCTGTAAGTGATAACTCCAAAGCGAGTCCCCACAGCGGACAGATGTGCGGGGCCTTGTCCATCTGGTGCCTGATTGGCTGCATCGAGAACTGCTTCTTCTTCTTTTCAACTTCTCTCTTCTTTGGAAGTTGCAATCGTCAACACGCCTTGCAGGACCGTCAAGGACCGTCAAGTGCAATAATTCTCCGGTTCTGCCTTTTCTGGGTGCTCACCTGCTTAACCGCCCATCATGCAGTCGCATTGGTCAGTGGCATTGGTGGACCCGGCTCAACGACTTCCATTGAAGGTGACAGGCACCATCTCCATGGACACACCCTCGTCGCCCTTACCTCACAGCTTTCGTGATATCGGTTGATGCCCACATTGCCTGGAAGCATCTCCCTGGGCCCGGCCTGGTTATTGGCCTCGCGTGGGAGACGGCCAGATGCGTGGTACTTGCGCCATCACTTGTGCTATTGCACCGACAGAGCCGACAGGCTTCCATCAGATAGCAACCCCTCTCTGCCGTCACTCTATCACCGACCAGCCAAATGGCCTCCAACAAGGCGGCCATGGTCTCTTGTCGAATGCATGCCGAGCGTTGTGGACCGGGGTTTATTCTTAGGTGACCCCCCTCTTCATGATATGTTCATATAAGGCTCAGTTTCCTCCCTCTCTTTCCATTCCTCTTTCTTCTTTTTCCTTTCTTCAGCAAGTTCTCAACTTCCAAAAGCCAGTTGTGTTTTTCCCCCCCCTCCCCCCTTTCTTTTCCCCTTTCCCATCGCAGAGCTGTGCTTTGTCGATTAATTCACTTTCACTAATTCACCAAAAAATCAAATCACGGTAGCTTGCTGGTCTCGCTATCCCCCAAATTCACAACTCACATCCCCCCTAAAGCACTAACTGGTTTTTGCTTGCTCGACTCGCCGTCTTACGCGCCAATTTGCATTCTTCTCAAGATTCGTTTTTAAGTTTTATTTCCAGCATTACCCCTTAATCAGTCAACATGTCCGCCATTCAGCTTTCGTTCTCTCTCCGTGTTTCTTCCGGCGTCAAGACCGTCCATCTTCTTGGTTCCTGGGACAACTACGCCGGCCAGCTCCCCCTCTCCAAGGACAAGACCTCGTCCAAGTCCGGCTCGTGGAAGGGCACCTTCCGCTTCCAGCCCGCTCTTGTCCAGCCCGGTCAGCGCTACTGGTACTACTACATCATCGATGGCTACCACGTCTCCCACAACCCCTCCGAGGAGTCCACTGTTGAGCCCACCACCGGCCGCTCCCTGAACATCCTCGACGTTCCCAAGTCTTCTTCCTCCTCCAAGAGCTCCTCCCGCCACTCCCGCGACTCCGTCAAGTCCTCCAAGCGCGAGTCCCTCTCCGTCGACATCCCCAAGGGTCGCCCTCTCTCCGTGTCCCAGATCAAGGCTCCCAAGCCCATGTCTCCCCACGCCACCCGCCACATCCTCGATGCCGACTACAACATCGACGAGCTCTCCAGCCGCTTTGCCACCACTGGCATCTACGACGAGTACGATGAGGACGTCATCACCGACTTCGACATGCGCTCCTCCCCCGTCTCCTCCACCGGCTCTTCCGTCAGCTACCGCTCCGACAGCTCCAGCCCCAGCTCTACCCTCTCCGGTTACTCCACTCCCGCTTCCGACTGCTCCAGCTGCATCTGCGAGCGCTACGGCATCACCCGCAAGGGCGAGCGCGTCCGTCTCGACTGCGGTGGCTCCCGCTGCGGCTACGAGGACTCCTGCTCCTCCGAGGATGAGGAGAACTACGTTGAGCGCAGCTCTCGCCGCAACGGCATCGTCGTCCGTGCTTAAGTGGCTTCGCCCCTGCCTCGGGTGAGGAAATTTTGAAGAAGACTCCATCTCCGACTTTTGGAAGGGAACTCAAGTTAGGAACGTTTGTGTGTTGTGTGCAGCCCTCGGCCTTATTAGTGCCATTAATTTGCCACCCACCGTCCCATACTCCCAATCCGGTCAACCAAGAAGACATATCGACGTCCCAGTCTCGATTCCACAGCTTCAGATGTTTGCGCCTAGTTCGCCATCTCGTCGCTCGGAATTCGATGAGAGATTAAAACGGCCCGATCACGCTCACTTTCAGTTGTTGAATAGCGACCGCAGCGAGAAAAAAAAGTGTCAGGCGACTCACTCTCCCAAAGTGACTGAAGTATGTTGAAGAAAGGTTTAATGTCCCCTTGCGCGCAAGCCCAACTGGCTGGTCCCTCGGGTTCGCGTCGAGGTACACACCTCATTCATCATTACATCTTTCACTTGTCGCTTAGACACTTTTTTTCTTCTGCCCATCTGCTTTCCCACTATTGTGGTTAATGCTGCGGCCCCTCAGTTCTCCACTGCTTGCTTGTCAAGTATGTGTGTGTCCTGTGAAGTCGAAAAAAGAACTTTTTCTTGAGATGTATTTTTGCGTGTTTTACTCAACACCCAAACTTTTTTTGTCCAGCCTCGGAGTACTTGGCCCCCACTGGTTGGTGGTCAAGTCCAGCTCTCGAGATATAATATTTCACCCCTTTTGTCAATTTGTTTGGCACTTCTCCTTGTTTCTTTGGAAGAGCAAAAGCCTACACTTTTTTTTTGTCAACCTTGTGGCACTTGAACCGGACTCTGGAAGGTTCAAGACTGGCTACTACTCAGCTTTTTGTATGACTTATGAAGATCATGAAAACCCATAAAAAAAGGAGGAATTAGGATTGGACATGGTGGACGGAAGAAAACCGGCAGACAATTATTGGAAAAAGCATAAATTGCTGCAGAGGCCGGATTAGGATAGATACCGCTTTGAAATCTATGCCTTGGTTATTGATGGTCATAATTTTCTCCTCGTGACTCTTGACTGTGACTCTATGTTAATATCCACCTCATCTTCTAGAACCACATCCCCCCCTCACGCTCTCTCGCTCCGCCCGGCTCGCTGTTTTATAACGAAGTCTGACCGGAAACCCCTACGTGGCAACATGCACACTCAGTTGCATGTGTGGCGGTGACGGCGGCGGCGGCGAAATTGCCAACCTGACCGCCGCCATTTTGTTGAAATGTCCAGTACCTAGATAACCAACCCAAACCTCTTTCATCGGATACCATGACAGTGATGTAATGTGTAGCTGGGGATATGATGCGTGAATACATCGACAGACCAAGCAAGCTGTGCAGCAAGCCCGTCACTGGCAATCATCTAGTAGTCAGTGCGAAATTTCAGGGGAAGAAAACAGACCGGTATACTTCTCCTAGCTCCATGATACGCGATAGATGACATTACACAAGGGAGGTCCAGCCCTAGTAAAGTTGTAGGAGACTTGTTAAGAAGAGAGGAGTGAGGAAAAAGATGGGAAGAGAAGTGATAAGAGAAGTAAGGGGAAAATAAAAGAAAGGGGCGAGGAGAAGAGAAGTAGAGAAGGGCGAAGAGAGAAGAGAGGTGAATAAGGGCGGAGAGAGAAAAGGAGTAAGGAAAAAGGAGTGAAGAGAGGGTGGGAAAGAAAGTGAAGTAAGATGAAAGAGAAGATGGATGTAAAGAGGGGAGTGAGAAGAGGTATTAGAGGAATAAGGAAAGATAGAAGTGAAAAGGGGTCAAAGGAGAGATAAAGAAAGGATAGCAAGATTGAGTATAACAAGTGTAAAGAGACATGGGAAAGGCAACACGGAATATAAACTGAAGAGCTGGGAATGGATAAAGCCAACCACCCATAGGCTCTTTTCAAGACACCGTCAATTCACTCAGTCATTCCTAGTACCCCTGATGCTTCTGTTCGCACAGAGAAACGTAGAGAATCAGAATCAAAAAAAGATTAGTCACGTCTGACTTTACATCCAAGTATCATTCAATGACAGAACCCCGTGCATTGCAAATTAACTGACATACGTTAACCCGCAACTACCTCGGAGTCATCCATTATCACCGACAAAGAATGTAGAGAGTGACTCAATCGTCAGGAATTCGGAATACCCAACATCCGATAACAACGGCAGTGTCGGCCCATTCCGGGTGCCATCGTCATATCGCCGCGTAACGGATGTTCTTTATTTCCGCTTGTCTCTCGGTAACGACCGGGCCCACCCGGTCGCTTGGGTCGCTTAAATTTGGTGTTCATTTCCTTTTCAATTATTTTGGCTGGTAGAGAGGCCTCTATACGCGAAGAAGCGAAATGGAAGAGCGAGTGAGCGAGCGGCGAGCGGGCAAGGTTGTTTGCAGTTTTGTGAGGGAAATGTGGTAGACGAGTGTAGTGTACTTATGGTATGGTGTGGTCTAGTGGTGTAATGCTGATACTTGGTAATTGTTCTATTGACTAAAATGCTTCAATGCTATGGCTACCTACTCGCGGTGTCATACAGGTTCGTGTTGTATGTGCGTAGGTACCATTGACTCTAGTGTCCCCATTCCTCCAGCCAGTCTATGTTGTAACTGTATGTCATGTCCCCTTGTTTTCCATGGAAGGGCGAGTCTGTGAAGGGAGATATATCCAAGAACTCCCGTGAATGCAAATGCCATCATGGCTGTAAGTCAGAGAAACCCGACTTGGCCTGTTTGTGTATCCCAACCGACAGACTGGTGTTGAGAAACGACGCTGTTTGTGTAAAAAGCAAAACCCCCCTCCAACGCCATGCAAGTAAAAACGAAATTCAAAAACTCAACCCATCCATTCCCTTTCCCTTCCTAACCGACCCTGCGGGCGAACTCCACTCCGAGCTCTAGCCGGCGTGGATGATCCTCCCATCGGGCCTGATCAGCCTCCTCCCGCTCTTCAGATCCCGCTTGCTCGCACAGCAGCATCCCATGCCGCTGTGCACCGCGAAACTCCACATGGTGAAGCCTGTGGCGATCCACATGAAGACAAACATGTACGTGCCGACCTCAGCGTGGATATTGAGGTCCGACTGCGCTTCGGCCGCGTACTTGAAAGCGTAGCTGATGACAGTGCCGATGATCGAGGCGGCCAGGGTCAGGATCATGGAGGCGAACGAGAAGAGGGAGAGCGGGAGGGACCACCACCGCGACTTGACGGGGAGGATTGGAGAGACGAAGATGAGGACAAAGTTCAGCACGCAGGCGGTCAGGAAAAAGCCAAACATGATCTGCGAGGTAATGCGCAGGACCGAGAGGATGGTAATAATAGCGGCGGGGATCGCGACGGTGGCGCCCGAGAGAAGCTCGTTCATAATGACTTCGACTGGGTTGAACCAGTAGAGTGTTTCGGGCTCGGAGCAGTAGGTTATTCCCCTATTATGTGTTAGCATGCGAAGTCAGTGAAAGGGAAGGGGAAAGGGTGACTAACTCGGATTGGTATCCCTCGCAAAAGTTCCACAGACCAACTTGATAAAAGTCATGGAGTCCTATACTTTGAGCGATACTGTTGATCAACTGCGCATTTGGGACCGATGCCGGAATGATGTCGGCCAGGTTGAGCTTGTAGAAGTAAGTACTGCGAAGCACGGGCTTGTCGGACGTGTTGCCAACGAGAATCTGTAGGACTGGTCAGCTATATGAAACATGAATGGGCACATGTTTCTAGTCAACATACCAGTATCAGGAACACCCAAGACACCAGGTACCCAAAGGATGCACTGTAGGCGAAGAATCGTCGTAGCCTCGTTGCTCGCTTGATTTGTTCATCACTAGGACTCCCTTCCTCTCCTTGAAGTGTCTGTTCCGAGCTTGCTGGTCGTGTTGGTGGCTGGGATGTGTATCGTTCCTTGGTTGTCTCGTCGTCCGAGCTGTTCCTCTTTCGGAGGTTCAGCAGTGATTTAAGGGCCATTGTTCTGAAAGTGTGCTGTTTCGGATCCCAAGGATTTGAAGAGTAGTAGTGGTGATGGCCTTAGGTGCGCAAGTGCACCTTCTTTCTCGTCAAACTTCGGTTAAGGAGAAGAGACTGGCGCTTTCAGAGAGTGTTGTCCCAAGTTTATCTGAAGTGGTGGTGCTGCTGGTGGAGGTTGAAGTTTAGGGGACTTTTGAGCCCTAGGGGTCCCGGAGTGGGCGAGAGTGATGACGACGGGGCTTTGTTCCGGTCAACGGAGGGGATTGCAACACCAAGTCGAAAGCCTGAAGGTCGGGCTTCGCAAGAAGAGAATGATAGAAGCGGCAGATGACGGATCACGGCAAGAGAAAGAGCAGAATTTGATAATAACAGGCTGGGGATCGACCGGTTGTAGATTGATGAGGTGATGTCGTTATCAAAAAGCAGGCTTGTTCAGGTTGCGATCGCTACAGCCACCGACTGCTTGGCAGATTGGTTTTCTTGGGACGTCGTCTGGTGGAGGATGGAGCAGCGCAATCGACCCTTGGCCAGGGAATGGGCAGTGAGTGGTTGGGTGGTGGTTGGGGGTCTGTGCTGTTGATCAATCGACAAACGTGCAGTGGACGACAATCAGGATGCGCTTGTCTTTGCAGTTCTGGGCAAATCGTCAAGGAAGAAGGAGCGAGAGACAGAAGATCTATCATCAGTCAGCATCCAGAAAGGGGAATGTGTTTGGTATCTCGGCCAGTTTCTGTGCACCCGGCGCTGCAATTGGCTCGCGTGCCTTTTGCACCGTCGGCGGTCAGGAACCTGAACAAGTGAGTCTTTCAGCGGCAATCCACAGCCATAAGCCCAAAAGTGGACAGTGGAGAGAATCCACCAAAGCACTCCTGACCGACGGGGGTTTTTCTCTTGTGAAACCCCCGGCGTTGAAGAGTTTCATTCGGTTGTGGTTTGGGCTTCGGTTGCCAACTTTATTCAGAGTTCTCCATTTGCAGCGTGTGTTCCTACTCGCGGCTAATAGGCGCTCTCATCCTAACCAGACCCTAGAGTCTCTTAGACGCCAACAACCGCCTTGCAAGGCCTGGCTGGACACACAATAGGAATTCTTCCATTCATCCCAGTTAACCATTTCAGGCTTCCAACAATGTCTCTATGATATCCATCGTATTGTCAAAAACCCACCTCTGTTGAGGTTTTCAACAGGTCGGTTCTAGAGCACTGCCCATGTGGAGATGATACCCTTCATTCAGGAGTCCCGTCCGAGGGGCCCCCCCCTGAGGGGTTAAGAGGGGCTGTAAGTTCGTGCCCAAGATGGGAAAGCGGCGATCGTATTTTATCTTGGCAGCGATGTCGTTGTCACCAAGAACTGCACGGCAGTGAAGGAGGCTTGCAAGTAAGTGCGACGTCATACCAGAAAAGAAAGAAAAAAATGCAAGCTGCAACACCAAGGCATTTGGTGCTGTCAAGACTGCATCGGGTTCAGATGACATGTTTCAAAACACCATTGTCAACATCGTGAGTTCCCAATTGGTGATTTCCTCAACCCAAGACCCGATCCAAGCTCAGGCCAAGGTCTTGATTTTGACTGTTGACGATGACCAGGCACTTCTGATCGGATGCCAGGGTCGTGGCTGCTGAAAACCTACAATCCAGGGCGCTGGATGGAGTGATGCGGCAGTGCTTCTTGGCGCAAGTCGGCTCTGGCTTCAGCGGCTCCACGCATGGACCGTGCCAAGCTTGACTTTTCCTTCCAGACGGGGGTCGTAGGGGGTCGGGACTTGGAGCGCCATTCACTGCGAAGTGGTGCGAACAGCATCCCGTCCAGACGCGCCCCATCACTTTCACTTGGCTCACAGTTAATTCAGTTGGCAGACGTATCTGGCCAATGATCAACCCCAAGCTTCAAGTTTGGAGGTGATGAACTTGTTGTTTGATTCTAGTCGTCATCTGTTTTTATCCTCTCGTTAACCCCAACCAAACCTTAACCCATCCCTCGGTCTCCCTGTCTAACATTTGATGTTCTCCTAGGACGGGATTCCCGGCTTCCTTTCCACTCCCTCCTACAACTTGTGCTAGTATTTGGATATTTACCCTAGAGCACACTTCAGATCAGCCCTGCTTGGGTGGACACACCGTTCACGATGACTTCCCTTACAAGGCGTCTAGGCTGCCTGCTCGGGGTGCTTTCCTTGGGCACTAGCCTAGCCCATGGCCAGTCCATATCCACCGTCAACGGCGAGGAGGTGACCATGTTGACGGGCACAAAGACACAACACTCGACCACATCGATACCAACAAACCTATATCAAACCTATACCACGCGCATCACGCTTGGAACGACCACAGGCGCTGAATCAACCATCATCGCTTCGGTTTCAGGAAACGGCACCGATGTCGCCCTCACTTCCTCATCCGCTTCCGAGACTTCCAGCGCAACGCTGAGTTACCTGACGGGCACCAACTCGCACTCGACATCGACCTCCAACACGACTGCGTCGAGCACAGAGTCTCCGAAGCCCGTACCGACCAACACACGGCCGTGCAACAACTATCCCGAATTCTGCGGCCGCAAGTACAGCAACATTACCGAAGTCGGTTGCCACAACAGCCCCTTCGTCAGGGCGAATTCCGCTGCTGCCAACCAACAGCTCGGCGTCGTCGATCAGCTCAACGATGGCGTCCGTTTCCTCCAAGCCCAGATTCAGTTCCCTACCAACGATTCGGTGCCTCACTTCTGCCACACCACCTGCGACCTCTTCGATGCCGGTCCCATCACCGAATGGCTCACTACCGTCAAGGACTGGGTTGTGGCCCACCCTTATGACGTCGTGACCATTTTGCTTGGCAACGGCAACTACTCGACACCGGATTTCTACGTCCCCCATATCGAGAAGACGGGCATCCTCCGCTATGTCTTCACCCCGCCTGTTGTTCCCATGGCACTCGACGACTGGCCGACACTGTCGCACATGATCCTGACTGGTCAGCGCGTCGTCATGTTCATGGACTACATGGCCAACCAGACAGCCTATCCGTGGCTTCTGGACCAGTTCAGCCAGATGTGGGAGACTCCGTTCGATCCGGTCGACCAAAACTTTCCGTGTGTCGTCCAGCGACCGCCCGACCTGCCCGCCGACCAGGCCAAGAACAGGCTGTATCTGATGAACCACAACCTGAACGGGGAGGCTAACCTGCTCGGAAACGTCCTCAACGTGCCAGACCTAAGTCGGATCAACGTGACGAACGCCGCCGAGGGCTTTGGAAGTCTGGGACTGTCAGCAAATAACTGTCGATCGGATTGGGGCCGGGCGCCAAACGTGCTCAACGTGGACTACTACAATATGGGAGAGTACCCCGGTAGCGTGTTCGAGGCGGCGGCGAGAGTCAACAATGTGACGTACAACAGGAAGTGTTGCGGCGAGGAGGCCAGCTCGGCTGGCAGGATCGAGGCCATGCTGAAGGTGCCTTTGACTCTGGGTTTGATGTGGGCTGCTTTCTGGACACTGGTTTAAGCACTACGTTCTGATCACATGTATTGGTGGCTGCTTTTCTCCTGTTTTCGTATTCACATCTGGCCTGTACCGGATGTGTATAGCATTTGTATGGCGTTTTGGTTCTGGTCAGGGGAAGATAGTAGAAGTCTGGTAATAGAATTAGCTCTTATGAATATATCGTTAATCAACCTCTATCCCTCAAACACCTCTTTCGATATCTTGGAGCTTGATCTGCCAATGCCAGACCGGTCCGTCGACAAGTCTAGCCCTTTCAACTACGTCGCGGAGTCGGAATGACGTCTGCGGGGAAAGCATCACACAAAGCCTCAAACCTCAGAAAGTGCCAGCCAAACCCCTGCCGCGTGCATCCCGTTTCAGTTTAGCGGCGACATCGGGCGACGTGAGCCGAACCGAGGTACAATCGGCTTCCCCACGTCCACGCGACACTTGCGACGACTCAGCACCACTCGGCGTCTGTCAATTAACAATTCATCAACTTTCCCCCGCAACCTTGTTGTCCTTCTCTCCACATCTTCTTTGACACTCACTTCGACCCGTCGTCTACCGCGCTTACATATACGCGACTACTCCTCATCCCATCTTTCACATCCTCGTTGTTGTGTCAACAGTCGCACATCACCCAAGGATCTATCTACCTTTACACAAACCAAACCTTCAAAAGTCAAGATGTCTCAGACCTTCACCAAGAGCCAGGTGGCCGAGCACAAGGACGATAAGTCCATGTACATCATCATTGACGATGGTGTTTACGATATCACCAGTACGTTTACTTGATTTTCTTCTGGTCTCATCTTCTCGCTCTTTCTCTCTCTCGTATCTCCTACTCCTCTTCCTCCCTTCACCCTCTCTCCCTTGCTTTCCCTTCTCGGCGCAATCATACACAGCAAGCCACTCTCACCCAAACCCAACATAACAAGCCAAATCACGAAGCCAAGATATATGAACAAAGAAAAGAAACAAGTTACTGACCTTGGCCCTCAAAAATAGACTTCCTCGACGACCACCCCGGCGGCGCCAAGATCCTCAAGCGCATGGCCGGCAAGGACGCCACCAAGTCCTTCTGGAAGTACCACGGCAAGAGCGTGCTGGAGAAGTACGGCACCAAGCTCAAGGTCGGCACCCTTGCTGAGGCTGCTAAGCTATAAGCATATCTGTCCTTCGAGTTAGAGAGACGTGTTGGTTGGTGTCGAGTCAAGAAAGGTGAAGAAGGGATGGATGGGTATGGGTATGGGTCGAGGACGGGGAGTCGGGAGTCGGGACCGGAACCAGGAAAATTGACACCCGGAATCGACGAGGCCCCGAAAAGGGTCGACACAAGCAAAGAGGAAGAGGACGAGGGCGAGGAAGTTAAAGCAGTGCGCAAACTTCTTCCGGGCATTTTCATCTCACAACTGAAGCGCAACCCGCGATGTCACAAACCACAACTCGCCCCGTCCCATCCCCTTTCACCGTCTCAGAGTTGGCTGGTCTGCTCAGGGCCGATTAGTTTCAGTTTCAGGACATCTCGACAGAGGCGCAAGCCTGCTTCGAGAGGAGGCGAAACGAATGATAGGCGAAGGACGGAAGTACAGGATATAGGAAAACAGGCCTAGAGAGGGACGGCGAGGCCCGACAGCAGCGAGCAGCGAGCAGCGGGCACTGATATACCCAGAATCTTGTAAAGCGAAATGGGATTTTTTTGAACAACCCAACCGTGAAGTTCACGAGGATCTTGTTGATGTTTGTATTAAATGGTTCGGTACCTGGCATGTCGCATGTGAACATGCTGTATTTGGGTACATGTCGTTGGCGTTGGCATTGCCATTGTTGTGTATTTGTTAGAAGTCGTTCATCTTCATCACATCTACATGCGTCTATCTTCGTATATTTCAGGATCGTCCTCCGCATTTGTATCCCACTGCGCGCCACCAGGGTTCTGGAGATTCATTCTGTTGGCGGCTTTTGGTAACTGTGGAAAATAATTAGGAACGATTTGGCCTAGAACTAACCTATAGATTAGTTTCATGTTGAATTAAACTCATTATGCGACGCTTTTTCAAAGGAGCATCCTCATGATCCTTTCCGAACCCAAAATCTTCCATTCAAGCAAAATGGTCTACCTTGAGAAAAAGTCGAGAAAAGGATCCCTTAGACACCGGGTTTCTAACAGAGCGTTGTAAATGGATGAAAAAAAAAAGAGAGAGAAAGAAGACTACCATCAACGGTGTTTTCCTAAAGAAGAATGTTCCTTGAAAGACCTGATCCATGGATTAGTATCGATACGAAATCCCTCACTTGGCTGGAGAATTCTACAATTACTAGACCATCCCGGAGATCCTCTTTCTAAAAACCCCCGTGGCGCGCCACGGTCGGTATCTGATCCAATACATAGGTGCTTGGGACTGGAACTCCCCTCCTTTCCGTTTACCATGTCATCACGGACCTTTCTTGCTAGTTCAATGATGATCAAATCGCCCACTCTGAAGCTTTTAATTGCCGTGCTGAGAAGCGGAATCTTCCTTTCTTCCCGCTGCCATAATGCACACATGTTTCCATGGCAGACAGGGTGATCATAATTCCACATCCTTCTGGAACGCGATACTATGTACTACGGGAGATTTGCCCAAGTGTGTTTAAGATGAAGTTATCTATCATACGGCCGAGTGAGTCTCTTGGGAGATGCTCGTATCATGGAAAACTTCCAAGGTTCAAGTGCAGAAAATCCGGTCCGATCGAAACCACTTCGGACGTTGTCCTGAATTTGCGTGCAACTTTTTCACAGCCAACAGGACTAGGACTGATACTTCCAAGAAGCCCTTCTATCCTTCATCTCCATGGAATCGCATCGAGGTGTTCGTGCAAACTCAACTGATTCTTTCACCTTCCCGTGTTCCATCTTTCCACGTTAGGAAGGTAAGTCAAGGTGAATTTGGAGGTCAAGCTCACATACGGTCAAGGCTCCCTTGTCAACCATGCTTACGCGGTTGTCTTTTCCTGTTCTTCCCGACGTCTACGTTTATCTCAGGAAACAGAAACAGGCAAGGATCCCGGTGAGTGAGTAAGTGAGTGTCTCACGGTGTGTATCCCCCGACGAGTGTCTCCAGCGCAGTGCCGGTGAGTTTCACCTAGTGAAAAGTTTAGAAAGTGAAACAACCGCCGGTACAGCCAAGTTTTGTTTGAGCTTGCCTCCCTCCCTGTCAAGTTCGGTTGATTGTTCTGAGCAGTGATGACCGAAGGCGGAAAAAACCGAACCTCAACTGTTTTGGAATACTGTTGACTAGAACATCTATAGTGCTGTCGATTGTTTGCCCATTCGATCTGAGACTCCCTTTTTCGCGTGGAGATGTTCCGGGCATTGAAATCTTGGCGCGATGCGGTGCGGTACGGTGCGGCTGGTGCGGCTGGACTGGCCGGGGCCATAGTAACCAGCCGCACCGGCCGGCCAGAGCTCCAATGTGAATTCAAGGACACAAAGACACGGAAAAGAGAGCAACAGCGGTGACGCGCGTTTCGAAGGTACTTGCCTATACTTGTATTGCAGTGATACCTGTGGAGATGTAAGAGATCGTTTTCTCGCGCTGGCCCGTGTCAGCTAGTAACCTCCCGCGCTGGCGGGCGGATGGTAATTTGTTGCCCTTGGGGTTACGGGCTCGGCACACGCGGGGAGGATTTTGCGTGACGGTGATATACGAATGGAACGTGTGACAAGAAAGGGCGTACGAGTATGTGTCGGCTGGTAAGTCTGATGTATTGGCCGTTATTCGTTCTTGGAGGAGCTGTAGGTGAGTCATGATTGCTCGAGGTAGGTTGCCTTGAGCGTACCAAACTGGATAAGTTGTATGTTTGGTGTCCAGGAAAAGATCCAATGAGGCAGTTTGGACAAAGGTATAAAATCCGGACTGCCTAAAATGGGGTTTGGTTGTCACCATCACTGTTTGCCGTCAAGTTCCCTGTAAAACTTCTGCTTCCGCCAAACCTCCAGGAGATGAATTGTACCTGGTGTGAATGACGAGCAACGTCCCAGTAATTTCGGGTAAAATGTCGATGTACAAGAGAAGCCTGTATTAGATAGTCATACCACTTGGCGGCTGTAATAAGAGACAACCGGTAGTTCGACGGTGTGCTAACGTCTGGCCTGCAAAGATCGAGATCTCGTTTTCTGTCGAGTACCTGGCCATCTTCATATCTTCGTTCATTACGTAGGATGTGGTGTACATGGCAAAAGCGTCTGCACACCGCAAGTTGAAACTGGCCTCGAATCTTGAGCGCAAACAGGCACGGCGGCAAGGCAGACTGCTCTGACAGGACGATTGTCGGGCATTATTTGCTTGCTCTGCCAACTGGAAAGGGCACTTGGCCGTTCGGTCCCGTCAACACGTGTAGTCCAGGATTTGATATGACGTCTCTTTGCGCAAGACCTCAGATCCGGGCACCTAGCATAGTGCAGAAATGAAATAACATCACATCGTTTCGACATGCTTCCAAAATGCTTGGCGCCTATCCCAAGTCGGCGGAAAATCCGGGGTAATATACCTTAAAGAAAGGGAGGAAATAAACGGTAGG